ATTTTTAATTAACGCTTGAAAAGTATACATAGTACGTACCTATTTATGACACTAATTAATCATTAATTATTAACTAAAGAGGAAAGATTACGTAGTATTCAATTATTGACTGACTACTAAGCCTGCTGTTGAGCACGTTGTTCTGTGTCTGGGTGTTTATTAATAATAACTTATTTATAATATTTATGTATTCAAAAATATATAAGTGTGTTTATCAGCAGTCTGGTTACCATAGTACAGGCTCTGCCTAGTTTGGGTTCAGACGGCCGTGTGTGAGATGTGTGAGATATCCTACATATAAAATTCTCGTGTCACAATGTTTGTTACCATACGCCTCCTTAACGGCTGGACCGATTTTTATGAAATTTTGTGTGCACATCGGGTAGGTCTGAGAATCGGCCAACGATCTATTTTTCATACCCCTAAATGACAAGGGTGACCCATTCCTAAATATTTTTTTCAAAATTTCCTAGAATTAATGTACATGGCAAAACAATGTTTGACGGGTCAGCTAGTATTATTATATAATTTTTGTAATATTTCTTATCAGACAAAATTATTACCAAATCTTTGTACACATCAGATACAGAGAAGACCACACCTAAACTACCCAATTCTAAAATAGATATCTTCTTTGAATAAATTCAGTTTATTTACATATACTTAAAGAACTGTGCCGACCCTGTGTGTCGCAACAGTGACACCACGACTTGATGAATTGGTTCCACCAATCACATCGATTCCGCTCAATTTAACTACGTGAATAATTCTAACGCAACCGGTTGCATCCTCGATTTTCTAACTGATCTTTAGTAGGGGTGACAAAATCGATTTTGTGATGAATAACTATGCAATACCAAACCTGGTTTGAGTTTTCTCTTTTTATGAAGATTGATATTTGTATGTTTCTATAATACTAGCTATTAAGTGCTTGGTCCGATTAAATTTTGTTAATTACTGTTACAAGTATTTATTTAAAACATCGTTTTTTTATTCGTATTTTTTATTCAGCTATTAATTTCAATAACTATAGTAATAGTTAATTAAAACCACTGGTTCTTCGTACTATTACGTTTGCTGTGTGTACATATCTAGGTTGGTGATGCGCTCGGCTATACATGACACGATGTACTAACTCGATATCTTCAGATTTATTTGTTCGAGATTTAATCTACACACGATGTAATAAAAATCGAATTTATTTCCATGTATTATAAAGTCAGTGTATTGTAAGTTTTTATGATTAATTGTAAAATTTAATACTGTAAAATAATTTTAATAAAATCACCTTATTTACATCATTCACCAATTATATTCAGATACAATTTCAAAATTAAGTAAAATAATAAATACTTTTTATTAGAACTTTAACAGTAGAACCTCTGTAAGCCGAACTTCAAGTTTTTAAATCTTTTTGTGACGCAGAGTTGGCAGATTATCCATGTTGCAAAATAATACCGTGTGTAGCAGTCTTAAGAAAAATAACACGTAAAGCCATGCTTTCACGTCAGTCACTGCCGGCGGACAGCGGCGCACTAGCTAATTGGTTGAATGCACCCCCGCCCCGCGTCCCCCTAACCATCAGGAGGGCCAAGCTTAACTATAACAAGTAGTAAGGTCGGCGACAGACACATCTAACTTGTCACGAATCACGTTCACTAACTACCTGTAGGTAGGTAGCTAGAACAGATTATATGTACAAACATGTATTAAACATAACGAATGCTATTCATAAGTTCATAACTGAATCATTTACTCGATTACTGACATTTGTCACTAAAGTTCAAACAGGGTGTAAGTCAAAAATATTCACTTCACGACAAAGCTAAAATAGTGATCTACTACAAAATTTTGATACTAATATTCTACCACATTCACACAACGCCATCTAGTCCCAAACTAAGCAGAGCTTGTACTATGGGTACTAGACAACTGATATAAATACATATATACTTTTTGTTTTTGTAAATACATACATATTATATATATAAACATCCAGACCAAATCAAACATTAAATGTTCATGCAAACAAATGTTTGACTTAAGTGGGAATCAAACCCACGACCTTTGGAATGGCAGTCCGTTACACAAACCACTACGCCATCCAGTCGTCAAACGATGAAAGTGTAAATGTGTGTTGAGCTATATTTTGTGTCTCAACTGAAAATATCAACAAATATTACGAAAAAGAACACATAGTCACATACTGTTCTGAAATTTAAATAGATTTCGAAATGTATACTGACTGTTAGATTGTTAACGAAACGTCGCTGAGGACTGCAAGTCTGGGTCAATCGTGATGAAGCTTCTAAACATTAGTTACGTACACTAATCATGTTTGCTATACAAATTATACAATATAGTAAGATATATGCAAATGCAGCATATGTAGGCACAGTATTGAGTCATCTACGTAACTGATGTGTTATAAAATATGATGCAGCAAACGTAACAATGATTCTTCGACACATCCTATGTTCTTGTAAAAAAGATTTCCGATATTCGACGATACCAAAATGTGATGATTTTAAATTTCAAGGTAGATAATAAGAGCGTACTCCTTCCTAAAAGGCCGGCGTTCATGGGCGGCGATGGTCACTTTCCATCAGGTGACCCGTCTGCTCGTCTGCCCCCTCTAACATAAAAAAAAAACAAAAGATCTCATCAAAAATATAATATGTAAAATACAAGCCTCACAACTGAGTTTTTTTAATTCTGAGATCTAATTGTTACCCAATTAGTTTACTTACAAGATTTTATTGCGACCACTTTAATATTAGACATCTTTATTTCTTTTAATATACATTAATTTTGTTGCTGTAACGGTTAGTGACCCTGACTGCTAAAGCAGAGGTTGTGGGTTTAATACTTACCCAGGACAAATAATTGAAAAAAAATTAAGTATAACCGTACACATCTCACACACGGCCGTCTGAGGCCTTAAAGTGAGTTTATTTAACATTAACTCGCCCTCGACAGCGAGTGCGTCCGGCGCTGCAATTGGTTTAGATTTCAGTGTGGGCCAATCTCTACGCCGAACGCAATCGCCGTGACAATCGAGTAGAAGTTTAATAAGCTCGCACTTGGCCCTCTAATCTCAAGCCATGCACAGTCAGTGCTATGGTAGTCAGACTGCTGATAAACACTCTTAAATATACACTATACCCAGACACAGAACAAAAGATCGTGCTCAACACACAATAATTTGTCATGAGTGGGACTTGAACCCACGACCTCTGGTTTAGCTGGACCAGGGATTCCCAAAGTGGTCGATATCGAAAACGAAAAGTCAAAATCGGTTTCCCAGTGGTGAACATAAATTAAAACTGATTTTGAGGGGTCAACGATGTCTACAAATCGACCCTTTTAATTAACACGTGTTCTGTTCTGTTACGTGTTCCAACTTGTTATAAGAATGATTAATATTTTTGGTAGGAAGTATAATTGTTATACTTTTGAAAAACTCAACAAATCGATAAGCGTTTAATTTTGCAATGGAGGTCTGAGGTATCAGTTCATTTAAAAAAAGGGGCCTCTTGCCCAAAATAATTTGGGAATCGATCTACTAGACCAACAGATCCGTTAATCATTATTTTGTAAGTCAAATGTGCTATTCATTTCTTTAGGTTGTGTCTGCTTAGTCAATTTCTAAACGTATTTATTATGTGCTACAGAAGACACGAGGCTGCGTTATCCATTCAAATTACGTAGCAGTGTGTCACTGGTGTCCTCAGCTATAAGTTATTGACCGCTTACGTAAACCAGGGCCATCTGTGGCCTTGATCGATCATTAGAAGTAAGGAGACCAGCCAATTAAAGTGAACGGTGATGAATTGACAGGTGATTAAAGAGGTATTTTTGTGTAAATAAATACAGTTTATTTGTTATTTAATTAACTGTCATTCTCTTGAGTAAATATTGTTAGTGATTTAGCAATCCGGAAAAACTCGTGTTATTTTACTTGCAGCTCTTGAACCCAAGGCGGCTTGTTATATTGCGACAAAATAATTGATACTCGTAACATATTTTTGATGTGTTTGAAGCGGCCCTACTGCTGGTAGGCGATCAGACTACTATGATCGCTTAATATCAGTGGTGCCGCAAGCTATGTCTTTTACTTACCTAAAAACATATGCATCAACAGTGGTGTTGTAAAGGTTACTCTTAACCTTTACGACACCACAATGTCAAATATACAAATAAATAAAAAATTGACAAGTTAGATATTACGTAACAACTTTTTTTTTAAATACGAAAGTTCAACAAATATATGCCTATGATTACTTTTTGTCTAATCTGATCCAACGTCTTGATTCATAAGGCGAACGCCACCTCTGTATTGTTCCTTTTTTTAAGTAAGTGTGGCTTTACTTTCCCTAATCTGCTACTTAGTGTGTGACTATGAAAGATGAGAAATGGAAAACTAAGACATAACATTTCCTAGGAGTTATATAAGTTGTATGTTAAAAGTACCTCCTACGTAACGACATAGTATCGATTTTTCATGTACATATTCTTATAGCATTGCTGACACCATCAGTAGCCATTAAATATACGAACTTTCTTACAATTACAATCCCAAGGCAGAATGGTATCAGGCCAATGACCGGTCATAAAGGAAACCAGGACTCATTGCACGGGCCCTAAATGAAGTAGGTAAAGGGTTGTAGGAAAATGATACTGATGATGATGATGATTATAATGATACAATTTTAGCTATGCAAGTATTTCGGGGATGTCCGATTAACTTTGGACCCTTTGGGTTACTTAGCAAGCAGTGTAGCGACCGCGCCGATGTTTGGCGATATACTTCTAACACCTTACATCTAGATGCACCTGATATTGGATCTACCTAGAATTGATTAAACATTTCCGAAATCATCATCATCATTAGCCTGTCGCCGTCCAGTCCTAAACGAAGGCCTCGCCCAAGTAGCAACACCACGCTATAAACAGCTATGAAGAAACATTTGAATATCTCACAAAATCTACACACTCACCTTTATTACTACATGGCCAGACATTACCCGTTGCGTTCTTTTTACTCTTGTTATTTTCTCTGAACATGAGAATATCCGGTACCTTGTTCAGTTTGTTTTCCTTCGGTATTATGTCGGGCACTCGATCAACATTCACGCGCACAAATTCTCCTTTCAACACTTTTGGCTGATTATCTTTTAAAGCTGGAGGTAATGGAGCTTTAGATTTCTTATGAAATAACCTCTTCCTGTCAGATTTAATTGGTATTTCAATATCTGTATATATTATACTGTCTATTTCTCCAATATCATTGATATCGTTTCTTATACCAATCAGACTCAATGGCTGATCGAATCGTGTGTTTAAATTCTTTTGTTGCACTGATATATGTGTAACACCGTCATTGTCAACAGTCTGCATTAAATCGTACTCAGTCCGACCTTTATCATATAAACTATAGTCATCCATACTGTTTTTTCTATTGTTGAAAATGTCGTATGTTTTCTTTTTTGAAAATAAACTCTCGCTGCTCGAGTAATTGCTCGAGTTTTTTGTCAGTCGGTTCCGCATCTTAAAATATTTGTATGTAAAGTATATCCTTTTGAAGTCCTGTTCGTTTTCAAATTTCAATGCTATCGCTTCCCTGTTGACATTTTTGGTTATGTGAAAGACTAGAGTATTCTCACAATTAGGATAGTTCTCAATATTTACACAGTTTGATATTTCATCAATTGAGACGTTTTCGCATTTTGTTGTCTTTAGCTCTGTGTAATCTTTGATCAGCTTTTTGTCTTCATCGCTGATGTCTTCTTTTGTTAGTAATTGGAGTTGATCTTTTTCGTTAAAACCGACCACGATATTGTAGTTTTGATGTGCGGATGTTTTAGATATAGAAAGGATGTCTAGCTGTTGGTTTGTGCTGTGTAATTTTTGTCTTGCAACTATAGCTGCGAAGCCGCCGGTCCGGGCTGTCTTTTTTACAGTCATTTTTCTGAAACAAGGAAAAGAGCTAATGTAAATATAACGGTTTTTGTCAAGTGTGCACACAACTGTTCAATAGTAGTTAATGTTTTAATAAGAACAAAAGAAGTACGGTCTCACTCCAGGTGTAGCGCAAATAACCCTTTACGAATTTTTGTACCTGTAGCTGGGACAAATTCAGGGTAAAATATTTACAGACTTTTCGAGAATGCTAGTTCATATCCATACCAATATTATAAATTCAAAAGTGTGTCTGTCTGTCTGTTAGCTCTTTACGCTTAAACCGCTGAACAGACATATATAATTTGGAATGGAGATACTTTGATTCTTGAGAAAAGACATAGCTTACCTCTTACCGCGATAACCGACATATACGCGGTCGGAGCCGCGGGCAAAAGCTAGTAAGCTCATATAAATGTGTCATTTATATTATGTTTATGTGTTCACTATGTTTGTTAAAGATCTATCTATAAGTATAACTTATTCGGTGCTGTACGTATTTACTACTGGCATCATGATCTAAAAACCAGCCAAGTGTATCAGGCCTCGCGCTCTGACAAAACTTAGAATTTCAATTACTTAGTTAATACATAAACTTAATACTTCGCAATCGGATCACTCACTGAATTAAAAGTAACCACCCCCTCAATATTTAAAATAAAACCGGTCCAACAATACTCTATTCTATGGAACAGACATATGAAAAAAACCGTTCCACTTTACGTGTAGAGTAGATTTTTTTTAAATTTTATATTACAACTTTTTTTAGCATGATTTATACATATATGAGTACTTTTTAGTTCTAGTAGTCTATGAGCTGATCCGCGGGTCGATGGACGGACGGACAGACAGGCGGATAGGCTGAATCTCGTGATATGCATGAATTTCCACACTTAAAAAAAAATTTGCTTATTATTTAGGGCTTCTTGTAAGTATCTATATATTTATGGACTGCTAATGTTGTTGAGCGATTCTTCCGAAACCTATTTTGAGACTCATTAAATATATTGTATTTCTCATAAAAGGAGTAAACCTGGTTACAGGTAACAGGTTAAAGTTCGATATTCAAATAACGATTAATCTATCGGGTGGTTTTAACGTATTGGCAATCTATTTCGAATCGATTCGAATTGCCAATAATGTTCATATGTGTTAAATTTACAAAGCGATGCTATAATTGTTGTTAGCACTTTGACTTTCACTAGCTTTCTTTATATATTTAAAATACTATAAAATTGGATAGAATTTTCGATAAAATTGCCAACAGTCGAATGCTACTATGTGCTAGCAATTTCTACATCATTTTTACATTTTAAGGTGCACTGGCTGGTCTTTATAAGTATATGTAGCTTTTTTAATTTGTATTTCAGTTTTATGCATTAATTACAAAAGATGCAATATTCCACTTCTCCTTTAGCACTAAGAAAATTCATTTAAATGAGTAATATAAATATAGTCATAATGTCAAAAAACCAAATGGGTTAGATATTGTGTTGTATTAACTAATTTACGGCTAATGAATCACGATGAGCGCCTTCAAAATTCTATTTTCGTTGAAAGTTGTTTCAGTTATTTGCTCTCCCTTGCCTCCTGAAGTTATCGCTATACTAATCCTGCCTCTGGGATGACGCTCATTTAAACAAATGTGATAAGCTTTTCATTGAAACGTGTTTTAAATATTAGTTAAAAAAGGCTGCTAAGTTTCGTCAACTATAAAGATTTATTTAAAAATGGAAAAATAATAATGTGCGTGACTTATTCGCCCTTATACTACTTGCGGTTTTGTAATGAATTTTTAAACTATTTCAAGTTTATTATTAAATATTTAATTAAAATATTCACATGCCAGAATTTTGAGCAGGTATGAATAAATGAATTTTTTAATCTTATAGTACAGAATTTGATGGAAATACGTTTGACTTTTATTTTTTAACTAATTATGATTTTTATGAGTGTCTTGTAAGTTTTTAGTGCAGGAAACACCACCACACTTTCAGCCAAGCGCGTCTTTCTTTGAAACTGTTCTGCACAAAATATAACGATACTTGTGGAAGAATGTTCGAACCTCTGTTGGTTCATTAACCAACAGAGGTTCGGACATTCTTCCTGTTGATGATGTTAATCCATTGATTATGGTTATCCGTTACATCACTTCACCATTCATTACTACGCTTCGCCAATCATTACTTCACTTCATTAATAATCACTTGACACATATCTACGTCGGTTACGTCTTCAAAGTGCTTTACATAACCTATCGTTTCCCTAGTGTTACAAACTGGAAACTTGTGAATTATCAATTAAAACAACAATGTGCAGAGAAAGCTTCATAAAAAATAATATCATTGACAAAGACAATAGTTGTCGTAAGCGTGTGACGTTTTAAATGAAAACAACTTCCCACTAGAGATGGGCAATGAACATGAATGCACAGCTCTATGATTGCATTGTGGTGCAAAGCGTAAACTCTATTGTGTTTATTGACTTTATTGCAACCATAAAGAGTTTACTAATGTCTCTAACTTCGACAATAGATAACGAGGTCTCAAGAATTTACCAAAACGTGAGTGTTAGAGAGAGTTTAAATTCATGATTTTTTTTATTTAAGTTTATCTCCTTTTATATTTTTCATTTTATTAATAGTTTTATTTGAATTTTGGACATTTCCCTTTTTTTTTGCTCAGTAATAACTAGTTGTGCCCCCAATTTAAGGGCTTTCACTCATGTAAAGAGTTTTTTGGATAGTCTAAATATAACTTTCATAAATAGGCTATCAAAGTTAGAAATTAGAAATTTATATAGTTTATTTTCCCTTTCTTTGTCAATTTCATTTACCTTTTAATAAAACAAAATATTATTTAAATGTAACGAAGCTAATTAAATAAGAATAATCCTAAGTCAAAATGCTACTTACTTTCTTTCTTATTCACACACTATGCGAACAATAGAAATTACGTCATACAGTGTTAATAGTGTATGTTTATTATGGGCCAAGTGATTAAATGCAGATTTTTTTTGTGTCGGTACCTAATTTTAACTTTTTACTTTTCATTATAATGGAAAGTAAAAAGTTAAACCTATTTCATAATAAATATTGACTCATATTAAAATTCCTTAATTATCACATTTTCTGGATATTATCATACTTTGTCTGGACATTTACAAGCTGATCGCTGATCAGAGCGCAGCTGTTTTCTGTTCTAAATTTTTAATAAATATTTAATCTTGAATTGAATGTGTTCATAAAAAAAACGGGATAGAGTGTTATTACTATTACTGCCCAATAGTTGAAGGACATTTGTCATACGGCCCGGTCAATTCGCAAATTGTCTTGACGTTATCCATAGTGCAATATTAATCTCTTGGTCATAATATATAAATAACAAAATGGAAATATAACGTTAATGTTAGCTCATAAAAAGATTTCCTCAATAACAGCCTATAATAGTCCACTGCTGGTTATAGACTTCTTCCTTCCTAATTCTTCGAACATTTGGCTTACTATAACACGCGAGGCAGACGGGTTGGTATAGGGTTTGTTTCAAGTTTTTCTTCTCTTCGTAGTGCTGTTGTTGTTGTGTTGTGTTGTAGTCGGCTCTTAATACACCTACGGGATGAATAAGGGTGGTGAAATTGCGTATTCTTAATCACCACATGGACAAAGATTTATTTATTTATAATTTAAGGCAATGAAAATCACCATTGCAACAAAGAGACAACGTGCAACGTTGTATAAAATTGTTATGACCTAATATCTAATTTAGTATAGTGTTGTTTCAAAACGAGTAATGTGTGTCAAATTTAATGAACATTATTTGGTTAGAAAATATTATGAAGGCATGTAATTAAACTCGCAGCAACTTCTGGGTTTAAGATGAAATCGAGATCGTGAGCATGAGATTTGATGGTTATTGTACAGCAAAGTGAGACAATATATAATAATAACCTGGTTTTATATAATTGTATTAGACGACCCATGTTAACATCAAGATTAATGTAATTACTACGTAAAAATAGAATGCGTCTTAAATATTACTTTGAGATATTTTATTTTTACAATGTTTTTAATGTTTTATAGCTAAAGATTAATAATGACCAGAGTTATACTTTTTCATCATCTAGCCAGAGCCAAGTAATATGTTTGACTCGAGTCAATTAAAACCACATACGGTGTTACGTCATGCCCTTAAAAAAAAGGAAGCCAGAGTTATATTTCTTTGAGTGAACGCCGCGTGCTAACCTTTTTCCTGTTTTTTTTTCAGAAAGTATTTTTTTTCAAAGAAAGTATGTATTTTCGTGACCTTGATCTTAAAGTTTATATTGGAAAAGATATCCAGAACATCTTAGTTTAAAAAAAAATCTTTTTTCTCACTCTCTTAAAAATATATTCATCATGAAGTTAAATTACTGTATAAACGTTTATATTCCAATATACATCTCTAGAAAAAACGCCTCACTCGGGGCGGGAAAATATAGGGGCTTCTAAATAAGCTGCAGTTCTGGAAGATGAACACGAACGCGACTGAAGCCTACTAAAGGGGTAAACTACGCAGGAAAACATCACTACAAAGAGAAGAAAAACTTGAAATAAATCCTATACCAACCCGTCTGGCCATCGTGGTACAGTAGGGCAAAACCTCCTTTTTAAGGAGAGGTCTATGTCCAGAAGTGGACTAGTGAAGGTTGTTGATGATGATGATGATGATAAGGCTGGCGATAAGCAACTCTCTTGTGGAACTCTAATTTCGTTCGAGGATTGTCCCTCCTGACTTGGTGTCTTTGACAGCCATGTAATTCTCCTCTCGGCTACTATTGCCGATGATATAGATTGGCCTGTATTTCTTCGATAACGCCATTCAGACAATCGCACAACGCCATCTATTAGGCTGAATCAAAACTATACATACCTTTTACAATAGTTTATTTTTTGACACGTTTTCGTACAATAAAATGTTGATCCAACAAATCTTAATCCTCTTTTATATCGTATAAGTAAAAAATCTTTT